GAAAAAGGCTATCCGAAGATGATTCATATGCATTATATTACCATCACCTTTATGTAGATCTGTTTTACTGGCTTATGCACAGAGGAACTCAATATATGATGTGCATTAAGGATATGGTCATAATCCTGAATCAACACGTGTGGATTATATAGCCAAGTTTAATGCGGCCATGCCTATTGTGAGTTTTAGTAGAATAAGTGATATTCTTCTTCATGACAAACATATTATTCAGGTTTATCGCTCAAACACATATATTAGATTCCAACGTTCAAAATATTAGTGTCTTTTCTTATGCCAAATAATTTTTAAAAGTCATTACTATTTTACTCTAATTTTTTTTTTTTGAATCAAGGAAGAATATATTAATTTAAAAAATACACAATACAAAGCTAGGTGATCCAAGGAGGATCCAACCCTCCAAAAAGACATTTTACTCTAAGCTTTTCTATTACCAATTACTCCTTTCTTCTTTAAAAAATTCATGGAGTTTTTAATTACTTCAATCTTATGTCCCATATACTCTGGTTGTACATGAAGTTAATGATCATCTTCTTTCTCACCGTGTAGAAATTTGGATAAGCTTCTTATTTATATGTTTATAATAACTTCTAAAGAAAGTGATCTTGATACCCTTAGAGTTGTGTATGTTAATGACTACTATGTGTTATAAAAAGTTATTGTTTGTGGTTGTTTCTATCAATTGCAATATTATAGGAGTTTGGTGATGTAGAAGCAAAGTTTGTTGAGATTGCCATTTCTTGAGGAAGTAGATGTAATTGAAGGGTCGGGACACTTCTTCCATCAAGCAAGTAGATGTGGCTAGTAATGTTAAATTATATAAATAGATTACTGGTGGTTTATAACCATATTTTGTATTGTAACGTTCTGATTTTTTTCTTTTAAGTATGTTGTAGTGTTGTTTTATATTTGTATTTTATTTTTTTTGAAATTTTAATATAATAATCTATTTCTAATGTAATTGAATAGTTACTTAGTGTTTTACACGTTTAATTTTGTAACATAAATTTTATTTATCTTTAAAAAGGTTGGACCATTGGCGATAGATTAATATGGACTATTAAAGATTATTTTTACTCAATATTTTAATTTTTTTCTTTCAGTTTTTAATATAATGAATATTTTAATTTATGAATTTTTATTTATTTATATCTATAATCTATAATCTATAACAATATATAAAAGCAATACATTATTTTAGTCTAGCCTGTTTTTCTTCTAATTTAACCCATAAAATAATAATTGTATTCCACTTTACACTCTTCACAATAACCAACTGGATGGATAGTTAAAAAACTGCTACCATGTCACATTCTAATTTGTTTTTTTTTTTTGTCTTAATTATTTTTAAAAAAACTTGCAATAACAATAGGTCATACAAAATGTATAGAATAACAAAAACTGTTATATGATTGTGTCAAAATAATTAACTTTCAATTTCTATTTAACCCAACCAAAAAAATAGAATTAAAATAAAGAAATTATAGATATTTAATTTCTCTCTCATTTAACCTAATCATCAACAAACATTTATCAAGAACAAATAAAATGTAAAAATGAGAGATGAGAAAAGAGAGAAGGACTATAAAATAAATTGTGGACACAAGGACATTGGAAACTACTATTGATCTTTGGTAACTCTGTAATAGTCAAAGTTTTTTTTTAATTTTTCCCTAATTTAACTTTAATTTAATGTAATTTTAATTTCTCTTATTTAATATTTATCTCATGTAACTTGGTAAAATCGAAAAATATACGGAGAGATTCAAGGGTGAAGTCAAAAGAAAAATGTAGAATTATTTGGCAAAAAAATTCATTCAACTCATCATTTTTTTATCTAAATTTTATTGTTATTTTTTGTGGAATTTTTCTTCAAAACGCATTTCTTTGGAACAAATATATAAAATAATGATTTTCGTTCGAGGAAAAATAAAATACTTAGGATTGATATTTCTTTATATTTACAATTTTATCGTTTGTTGATAATGTAAAATGAAATGATGTATGTTGTACAAATAAAAAAGTGCAAAATTCTTTAAAGAAGAAAAAAAACATTCTTCTATCTCCTCAATTTTATAAATATTTACTAAACAAAATAATGTATATAACATGTTTTATCATATAAATAATTAAAATTGAACAAAAAATAATGTTTATAATTTTAAAAAAGCGGACAATAGATTATAACAATACATAAATACAAAACTTAATTTTTGTGTAATCTATTTGCTTTTTCCATAATACGGGATTCGTAACCACCAAATTACACTCACATTATTGATTTGCTTAAAAAAATCAGTTGAATATAGTCACATCACAATGCGAGTTTCTGAATTCAAACAAAATTTAATACATGAATATTACATATTGCAAACAAAATTTAATATGTATATGAATAAATAAAATAAAAATATTAAAAAAAATTATTGTGAACTATTGAAAAATGGAAACACTGACCAGTCACTTTCTTAAATTAATTGAATTTTGTTGTTAATTTTTTATTTACGATTTTTATTTTTGATGTTAAACAGAGATGCACAATAAATTTCATATTACTTACAAATTTAATTTGAAAAATAATTTAATTTTTAATTAATTAAATAAATGACATTTTAAAATTTCTTACAAACATAAGGATGCATATCAGTAAATTTAGCGTTCAAATGATTTAAATTTAAATCATACTTAAATAAAAAAATATTAGTTTATTTTTTGACGTGTATGCTCATTAAAAAAACGGGCAAACACGAGAAGAGTCGTGTGTGGATCATACATATTCGCAGGGGATGTACATGTTGTTCAATTTACTCTAAATCAAAGTTTATTATACAAAGTTTATTATACAAATAATTTAAATTTAAATCAAAGTTAAATAAAAAACATCCGTTCATATTTTAACGTGTGTGCACATTATAAAAAGCGGACAAACTAGTGCCCGTTTGGACGCTAGTATATAATATAAAGGGAATATTTTGTTTTGGTATGGCCTATTTTTCTACCATTTTTACCCTTACTTTATTGTGTAATTTCTTTAATAACTTCATATTATTAGCTTCCACATAATTTTTTATTATTAACTTTCACATATTGTATTTTTTAAAAATTTTATTTAAACAAAAAATATCATTTATATTTTCATTCGTGCATATTCAAAAAACGGATAGACGGGCACGTGAGTGCCCGTCTGGACACTAGAGTGTGTGTGTATATATATATATATATATATATATATATATATATATATATATATATATATATATATATATATATATATATATATATATATATATATATATATATATATATATATATATATATATATATATATATATATATATATATATATATATATATATATATATATATATATATATATATATATATATATATATATATATATATATATATATATATATATATATATATATATATATATATATATATATATATATATATATATATATATATATATATATATATATTCCTTTCTTTCTCCTCCTTTTTTCTTTAGTAAAATCCTTCTCCTTCATTAAATCAAACATGCATAAAAGTTTTAAATAAGAGTTTTATGTTGCATCATATTTTTACATAAAAAATTTTAAATATGTAGATTTTTTAATATCCATGAGTTTAAGTTGAATATTGATATTTGATATAAAAAAAGTTGAGTATTGATATTTTTAGGGTTAAATATGTTTGTGATTTCGTTTTTAGTCCCTAAAAATATTTGCATTCACACTTTTGGTTCTTAATATTAAAACCGTCGTTAAAATTATTGCTAATTCAATCATTAAGTTAAAAACCGTCGCTAAAACTGTCGTTAATTTTATCGCTAAGTTGTAAAAACCGTCATTAAATTGTAGGAGAGACTAAAAATGTGAATTAAAAATTTTAGAAGGACTATTTTTATAAAAGAAAAATATTTTAAGAGATTAAAAACAAAATTGAGATATTTACGAGAATTATAAACATATTTAACCCATATTTTTAATAAAAAAATTTAATTTATATTAAAATAAAGTAAAATAAAAATATTTTTTTTCTTTTATATGAAGCTACTTCTTTTATTGAATTTTTATAATATAACAAGTATATTAAAAAAATATACTAAATAAACAAAAAATTGAAAAAAAAATTACAAAATGGCTAAGTTCTTACGTTGTGTCGTCAAATGAGTAGGCGAATGCATCCCCTTTTGACAGTGTCGTCAAACGAAATGGCGACTTGGACCAATTTTTTTTCTTTCTTTTTCGCCAAGTAAAATGGCGATTGAGGCCATTTATTATTTTTTTTCTTTTTGGTTTCCGTTTTCATTTTTATTTTATTTTTTAAAAATTAATTTCAATTATATCGTGGAGGGGGTGCCATTTCACTTGTTTGTAATTTATTACTGCATGTTTTTCAATCCTCATCAGTTGCTTGTAATTTATTTGCATTTCCATCTTAAAGAAATAAATGATCATTCTAAATTCTGCAAATGTTGAAAGTGTTAAAAATTAAAAAAATATATATAAATGGCCCTGTCGCCATTTATCTTGGCGAAAAAGAAAAAAAATTGATTCAAGTTGTCATTTTGTTTGGCAACACTGTCAAATGGAGGTGCGATTGTAAGAACTTTAATTTTTTCCAATTTTTTATTTATTTAGTATATTTTTTTATTATACTTGTTATATTAAAAAAAAATCTCTTTTATTGACTTCTTTTATCAAATTGATTAAAAATCCTTTTTTATTTGTCCTTTAATTCTCTTTCCACGTAAAGAAAAGTGAAACTTAAAGAAGACATGTCATAATATTAATACCGAAGAAATAAATAATTAAAATGACGAAAAAGTCCTTGTGAAGTAGCTGGCAACTTGATTCTCCTTCATCCCGTTCACATTCACCTCTGTTTCTTTCTCTTTCTCTCACCGAACCGAAGAAGAGAAATAACATTTTGTATAAAAAACGACTGCGTTTTGGGGTTTTGTATCGTAGAAGAAGATGGATCAAATGTTCAGCAAGGTTGGATCCTATTGGTTCAACCAGAAAGCCAACAAAGAGCTTAATTCCGTCGGTGATGACATCAATGTATAAAACATAAATCTACTAATTTCAATTTTTTTTTTAATTGTTTCAATTACTTTTTATTGGATATTCATGATCTGAAAAACGTTTCAAAAATTGTTTATTTTTTGGAAATTGAACCATGCTTTTACATTTCATCAATTTTAATTGTTGTTTGGTATGAATTTTGATTACTTAGATGGAAAATTGAATGTTTAGGGTATTGTGAAAAAGTTTTCTTCTGTTGTAAGATATCTGAATTTTTAATTGGTAAAATAGTTAGCTCAAAATCTTTATATATTTGTTGATAGGAAAGTTTTATGTTGATTTTGGTGAAAAGAAATGTAGCCATAAATCTAATTTTAGTTATAGATATGAAAGAAATATAGCCATGTTATATTATCTATGGTTTAATTATTAAGATAAGATGTTATAACTAATGAAATGATTCTTTGTAATGGCTTTCACGCTTTCGGTCGATACAGGTGCTGTGATACTGATTGTGATCGCCGCGGTGTGAATTAACCACAATTTGTTCTATATCATAAGAACGGTGAATAACTATATTGGTATCAGCTCCTGACCTATTTTTAGAACCTTGGTGAGGGAGTAGTGAAGTTGTTATATGAGAAATAGGTTTATCTAGTTTGAGTGCCTTTTGGGGATTATTAAGTTGTGAATAAGTATATGGGATAGTGGTTAATCTCTGCAACTTAGGTTTACAAATCACCCGGAGATATAATGTTGCTAATTTGATTACACAAGTTTGAAGTAATACCACATTAAGTGATTGTATAATCCACCATTAGCTTTGTTAAAAACCTTATCTTCCTGTTAGAGATCATGAAATATGATCCCTCCCATATGTTCTATTTTGAAAGTAAATGCTTCACAAAACTACAATAAATGTCAAACATTAATTTTCAATTACATTGCTTGGGTTGTGTCTTTATTGACACCTTCTTTCTTTTGATATGTAGTCAATATCAAACAGTATTGAAGGAGGAACCAAATGGCTGGTCAACAAAATAAAAGGTTTGTATTTCCTATTTCCATCTGTTGCTCAAATATTTATCTTTCAAGTCCTGGCTAATTATGAAACCTGTGTAATATTTGAGATTTCATTTGTGTTTAACCTTGTAATCCCAAATTGATAAATGATAGAAAAATGGATCATAACACACTTGGTTAGGATGGATCTAATGTATTATTTTTCTGTACATGTCTTATGGATTTAGAATGAAAATGAAGAACTGAAACTTAATATAGGTAACATAGGGTATTGAGAGACCCTATACTCTCTCTACTCTCAACAACAACCAAGCCTTATCCTACTAAATGGGCATCTAGAATGTAGGACCACGTTTCTATCTAGGACCACGTTTCTATCCAAATCGTTAATCTCGAGACTCTCTGTTCTCATCTTCACTTTTTTACTTAACTTTCCATCTTCTCTCGTCTATTTTTTCATATTTCTAGTGACTGATCTTGCTTTCCCCCTGTTTAAGAGTCTCACATTAGATGAGATATGACCTTAAAAAGTATTTATTACTTAGAAGTGTGAAGCATCTCTTGACCTTACAAACCAATTTCATAAAGTTGAGTTAAACCCAAATCAAATTTTCAGACTCTTATCCCCATCACACCCAATTACATTAACCATATTCAGGACCTTCGTTACCTCCCTCTTATTATGCATTTTAATAATTGATGTTTTGAAACAAATATATGCGTTAAATTAAATCTTACAATGGATCTTCGGGATGAGGGGATTGAACAGCTGCAATTTGAGAATTTTAGTACTTTGAACCATGGATGGCTGTGTTTTTACCTAGTTATTTATTTTGGCGATGATACTTTCTTCTAGAAATGATTTTGTTGTATTAATTTTCACAAACCGGAATTTTTTCTTTCTTTCTATTTTTCTACAATTAAAGTCAATTTAGAGCCGTAGAACCGTCAATTTGCTGCCTTTCCTTCTATAGCTTTGTTAAAATAAATTTTCTAAAACCGTATGCCACCACTGGTTCTGCTATATTTCTCTACTTCATGAGTTGTCTATTATACAAAAGGTTTTCTTGGCTGAAATAATGATTCGTCATATTTTACTTCTCGGCCAAACGTCGGATTACTAGGGCCTCTTTCTTCCCGAGGAACAGAAAGTTAAAACAAAACAAAAAAGGTTTTCCTCAAAACATCATTGTTATTGAAATCTATTAAATGCACCTTTGTCACATGATTTGAAATCACATAGTTCTATTTGACATAGAAATAATAGTATTTGTACAGCATCAAAAGATAGATTTCTATATTGAAGGGAACTTGATTATATCACCTAACAGGAAAGATGCAGAAGCCATTACCGGAGTTGCTAAAGGAGTATGATCTACCAATAGGAATCTTTCCTCGTGATGCAACAAACTACGAATTCACCGAAGAGACGGGAAAGCTTGTAGTTTTTGTTCCTCAGGTATGTGAAGTAGGCTACAAGGATTCAACCGTCTTGCGTTTCTTCACCTCCGTGTCAGGTTATCTGGAGAAAGGAAAGCTAACAGACATAGATGGAATGAAGACGAAAATTATTATCTGGGTAAAAGTGACAACCATATTATCGGAAGGGGCGAAGCTCTACGTGACAGCTGGCATGAAGAAAACAAGGAGTAGGGAAGCATATGATGTTACAAGAGATGGTGTACCTGTAGATAAGTTCTAAAACTTCCACATGATATTGTTATTAGTTTGACAATGTGTAAAAGCCTTTGTTGTTTTATAGATCATTTCGAGTCTCCTTTTGAATGGTTTGGTGGTTGTTTGTAAGTAGTAAATATATATTTCGGATACTGAACTTTGGACCTTGTTGTGATTGGTGGTTGCTGATCAAGTAATTTAAAGGGGTCTATAGCATTTCATTCATAAGAGTATGTTGAATGTATGTAGAAATAATAATGAGAATTTGAAAACTAGTTAGGAATGTAGCTACTCTTGCAAGCATGAACGACTTCATTGACTTGATTTCTATTAAACTCTACCGTTTCTATAAAAAGAATTAAAAGAATGTTAATAGTAATGCTACCACCAATTTAAAGTATCTTACAACTCTTTGATCCATTTTAGAGATCAACTTTAACTCCATATCAACATTGGGCTTTACTACTGTTATGGTGTAAGGTGTTATGATTGAGGAAGTTTAATCAAATTAGTGAAAAAGTGACTTACATTTCATAGATATATCAATACACACATAAAGGGTGTGACAAGTGATCTACATCTTGTTTATTTCAAAAACTAATTTGGAGATGCATATTCGGAATCACCATTTTATGATGTTTTAAGTTGATTGAGCTAGTTAAATCAATTAGTGACAATTTTGGAGATGTATCTAGAAATGTCAAGTGAAAAATAAAATAAAATAAGACACTTTCATGTTCTTCTTCATGATAAAACACCATTATTCTATCAAAATTCTTAATAAAACTCCTTTCATTGTGTTTTAAAAGTTCTTAAAAAAAATTTAAAAACTTTTGCACTCCAAAATAATATTTTTGTGTTTGTATCACATCAAAAAGAGCAAAAGCAGCTGCAATTTAAGGTAAATAACATGTTTTTCCTTCCACATTTTTTGCATTAATATGTTTTTTGCTTGTAAAAAATGAATATTGAGTTCGGAGATGCATCTCCGAATAAGGTTTCATATGTTTTGGATATGCATCTCCGAAGTTCTTCAAAAGTTGATTTTGAATATTAAATATGTCTTTCTGTGATGTTTGATTGTAGATATGGTGCACCCTGACACTTTTTCGTAAGCCAGATGAAGTGAAGGATGATGTTAAACTGGGTGATGTCGAAGATGATGTTAAATCGGTTGATGTCAAGGTGGATGTTAAATCGGATGATGTCCATGAACAATTTACTACTAAACAAAATGTTGTTGAGTGTGCACATATACTCCAATGGATCCTCACAAATGCCGCAAAACATGGATTCGGTGTTGTAATTGAGAGGTCTGATAGTGGTTCTGATAGAAGACAGACATTTGTAACAATGAGATGCGAATGAAGTGGCATGTACCAATAACCTATTCGAAAGTTGAAGTGAGATAACACCGGATCTAGAAAGTGTGATTGTCCTTTTAAGGATCGTGGATATCGTAAGGCGAATAATACGTGAATATTTAATGTGGTTTCCGATATACATAATCATAACTTGTGCCACAGTCGGTCATGCCATTGTATGTCGCCTTAATCTTGAGGAGAAGCGACTTGCTTCTGACATGACATTGAATATGGTGTCGCCCAAAAACATACTTGAAACGTTGAAACGAAAAAGACCTCAAAATGTTGCAAATAGCAAGCAAGATACAATGTTTGTGTCGTAAACAACAAGGCGGTAAAATGACTAAGAACTAAAATGCAACAATTATTGAAGCTTCTGGATGGTGAACACTATGTTTTTAAGTATAAAGTGTGTAAGGATGGAGTCATTGTTCGAGATATATTTTGGACTCGTCCTGATTACACTAAGTTGTTCAACACTTTTCTCATTGTGCTTATAGTTTATTCAACATACAAATTAGAAGTGTCGCCACAAGGGCGTGTCAATCTCTACGGGAAGGATGGCTTCTACTTCATATACCATGGTGAACGGTGTTTCCTTAGTAGTATAATGAGGGGTGGTGTGATATGACCATAATATTTTATGAAGTAGTTATTACCATAAGCCTTTGGTGTCATCAAGCTTCTTCTAAAGTCCCTTCAAGATTACCTTGTTCGCCGACTCAGCCTATTCATTGGTTTGGAGGTGCACAACGGATACAAACTTTGTATGTACTCCTAAATCTTTTTTTAAAAAAAGTCAGTGACCATAGCTCTTGCAAACTGGGTCCCGTTGTCAGAGAAAATGGTTTCGGGAAGCCCAAAACTATACATAAGTTTATGCCAATAGAAGCGAAAAACTCTTTATGCTTTGATTTTGGCGACAACTTCAGCCTCTATCCATTTTCAGAAGTAATCCACTCTCAATATTAATAATTTAGTTTGACCTAGCACCAGGGGAAATGGACCTCAAATGTACTTCCCACACTAGTAGAAAGGTTAGGGTGTTTTTATTGACTAAAGAAGTTCAGTAGAGCATGGTGAATGTAAACATATCTCTAACACTGGTCGCACTTCTTGACGAAGGCGGTGTTATCCTTCATCAGAAAATGCCAAAAATATCTCGCCCTTAACAGTTTGTGGGCGAAAGTTTTTTCGCCAATGTGACTATTGCAGACTCCTTTGGATAGTTTCATACTCGCTTAGACATTGTAGGATGGGAGAAGCTCTCCCAATGTTGTAAATTTGTATAGAGATAAGTTTACATTCGAATTCTCCCCACTTCCCTCTTGTCTAGTGGAAGTTCGTTCGCCTGCAGGTAATGTAGTATGGATAACATCCAGCTAGACTCAGGCACAACTTCCTAAGAGTACACCTCGTCCGCCTCGATGCTAGGGGAGGCGAGGGTTTCCTGAATCACTATTCTGTTAAATCCTGTTGTCTTTGTGGTGCCAAGCTTGGACATAAGGTCCACTCTAAAGTTCTGTTCGCGGGGAACAAGTTCTATTTCAAAGGAAGTAAAGAGAGAGAATAAACTTCCTACCTTTTTCATATATTTTATTAACTGGGTTATTTTGTCTGTTATTGGACGGAGACATGGTTGGCAACTATTTGGGATTCGCTTTTGGATTTATGACTTGAGGCTCCATTCTCTAAGGTGAGAACAAATCAAACGATAAGGGCCTTATATTCTGCCTGATTTTTGTTGGCAGTGAACTCGAACTTCATTGCTTGCTCGATGAGTATGTCGTCAAGTCCTTCCAAAACTATCTCAACGACATTCCCATTCACGTTCAAGGCACCATCGAATGATAGTGCCCATTCTAGGGGTTTCTTCTCGTCTACAGGTGAGCTAATATGCTACAAAATTTGCAAGAGCTTGTGATTTAATGCTTCCCCTCAGAACATACTAGATTCCGTATTCTGAGAGTTCCACCACCCAAGATATCATCCTTCCTGCCAAATTTGGCTTCTTCAATACTCGTTGAACTGGAAAGTTAGTTTTAACAAAGATCTTGTGACCTTGAAAGTAAGGTCTCAACTTTCTCGTTGCGACGATGACGGTTAGTGTTAGCTTCTCAATCTTATAATAACATGTTTCAATGCCTTTGAACACCTTGTTTACGAAATACATGGGCCTTTCTGCCTTGTCTGATTCTTGGACAAGGACTGACTCATCTCTTGATCTGTTACCGAGAGATAAAGGAGTAGTGGCGAATCCTTCCTCGCGCGAGTGGGGATGAGACGCGATGCAAGAAAAGCCTTTACCTTTGAGAAATCCTCATCGCATTTGCAATTCCATTTAAATATCTTTTTCTTCTTCATGAAGGAAAAGAAAATGAAGGCATTGTCGCTCACACACGAGAAGAAGCAAGAAATGGCAGCGAGGCGACCTGTAAGTTGGTGCACTTCCTTGATGTTTGTGGGGCTTCTCTTGGCGATGACTGCCTAAAGTTTATTTGGAATGACCTCAATGCCTCTTTACGTCAGCATGAACCCTAGGAGGTTTCCAGCCTGAACACCGAAAGAGCACATGGCGGGATTCAGTCGCATATCGTATTTCCTTATTGATCCCAATCTTCAACTTGGGTGCGCCCTTCGATAGTTTTACCTATTATGTTGTCAATGTAGACCTCCAGGTTATACATTATCTTATAGGAGAACACATCGTCCATGAGTCACTAATAGGTGGCGTCAGCATTTTTAGGTCAAAAGGCATGACGTTGTAGTAGTAGTTTTCATGATTCGACACAAAAGCTGTTTTTGGGGTGTCTAGAAGATCCATCTAAATCTTGTGAAGTCCACACGCAGACGCCGTCTTCTGTTTGTTTTCTTTACCAAAACTTTGTTGGCTATCCAGACATGGTAGTTTATTTTCGTAATGAACCCGACGTTAGATAGCTTATCTACTTCCTCATCAATGGAGACCCTCTTTTCCTTGCCAACTTTCCGCTTCCACTACACCAATATTTCTGCAGAGGGTGGATGGTGAGGCGATGACTCACCACCTTAATGTATATCCTAGGCATATTAGAGAGGTTCTAGACAAAAAAGATGACATTTTTAATGAGTTGGTCGACTATCTCGTGTTATTCTTCCTCGGTAAGCAAAATACCTATCTTCGTCACCTAATAGATCAAATGGCCTATTTGGACATCGTTCAAGTCTTTTGTAGGCATGAGGCTTTCAACGTCTATGCCCAATCTAGAATCCCAACTATTGAGATCTGCATTTGGAACTTCAGAAAGGGGGCGCCAATAAGGGCGAGTTTTTCCCTCTTAGTCGTTAGGCTATTCTTATAGCATTCTTGAGCGATCTGCTAATCTTCTCAAATTGTACCGACTCGCCCTTCTGGCAGCGGGTACTTCAGGACTAAATACAAGGTGGAAATAACTGCCCATATTGCATTTTTGGCGGGTCGCCCTAGAATGATATTATATGGTGACAAGGCGTCAAAAATAAGGTAGTTGACGTCGATCATATTAGCTTCAGCACCCTCGCCACGCGTAGTCTCTAGGGTCACCGAACACTTTGAAGTCGTTAGAATTGAGTTGCAGTTTTTGGAAAGCGTCCAGGAATAAGACGTCAGCAACGCTTCTAGGATCTATCAAGACTGGGTTGA